ATCTTTCTTGCTCCCCGGCGGTTATTGGCGTGGGCATTCCAGTGGGTGGTTTCTCTACAAGCCTCTACGTATTCTGACTTCCAAAGCAGGTAGTCTCCTCCTGAAAGTGTAGGTCAGGCTAATGTTTGCTAATCTGACAGTGTGAGCCAGTCCTTGGCAATAGCTTCAGCCTTAGCTACGGTATACGGAGCAGTAGCTTTGTATTGGGTGACTGCCGTCTTCATTTCTTTTACCATTTTAACGTCATTTTACCTGCTATGACAGCGCCAGGCCTGTCCCTGGGGATCTGTCGTTTCCGTAACAGGGAATGTCTCAAAGTCTGTTGTATGTGATCCCTGAACTAGTTTTGTTTCTTTGTTGGTTTTTAGTTTCTCTAATTGTGATGTTAGTTCCCAGTGTTCTTTTTCTAATTGAATCTGTTCTTTTGTTTTATTTTATTCAAAATCTCTTCCCTAGGGTCAATAACTGGCATCACCAAAGATGGTGTAAATGTGACTGACTTGTAAGGTGGTGGTCGTTTTTGAAAGGCGGCCATTTTGAATGATTGTACTTGCCTGCCTCTCTAAAGTTTCTTCTTCAGGTGGCCATTTTGGATTTTTGTACTTGGCAGTCTTTGTTTCTAAAATTTGTTTTCAGGTGGCCATTTTGGATTATTATCTTTGGCTGCTTTTGTTTCTAAGATTTCCTCCTCTGAACTAGTTGATGACTCATTCTTTTTTGGGGGCTCTTATAGAGCCTTAAGGTTGTTTTTCTTTTTTAGTTTTTCGCATTGTTTAGGTTTTGTCTCACCTTCAGGACTTTTAACTTCTTCCTCACTATCCAGGGAAATAAGATCCTCTCCCTGTTTTTCAATTTTAGGATTCTTGGTTAGATCTGAGGTGGCTATAGCTGCCTCCTGGGGTTGATCATTTTGCATGATCTGCTCTACTTTAGTGGCCATAATGGCAAGGACTTCTTTTAAGTCCTGAACAGATAGTTCACGCTGACTAAGCTCTTGTCCCATTATTACCCGTACTTAAAATAAAACGTAAGTAAATACTTACTGGGACGTCTTTTTTTCATCCCTCTTTTTTTTCCACTTTCTTTTCTTGGGACGATTCTCTACCATCCCCTTCTGTTTTTTGCTGAGGCCTTTCTAATTATTTCAGTGCTCTTCACTGGATCCCTCGTACAGGTCCCTGTTCAGGCGCCACGTGTCCCGACCCACAGGACAGTTTAACAGTTTACTGGGGAGGGAATGAGAGAAGGTACAGACACAGTGGAGACAAGAAGAGGTGCTGATCAAGTAAGTCTCTTTTATTGAGGAAGAATATTAAGTTATCTTCAGGCTGGTGGGCATTGATTGGTTGCCTGTAATGCAAATGGGATAGAACAGCATGACCCAGTCATTGGTGTGAGTGGATCTTTCCTGTTGTCTGGGAGCCCAACCACCCCCTGGGAGAATGGTTGGTCACATGATTTCTGAGAAACAGTTTGCTCAGTGAGGAAGTGAAACTTAATGGTTTCCAAGATGGTGGCTAGCTCAAGATGGCAGAGCTCAAGATGGCTTCCGTATGCAGTGCCCTTCACATATATGCATACTCAAAAACATCCTAACAAGATGAGGAAGAGATTTTAGTGAGGCCAGTCTTAACTGTAGGTTGATGTTTTCTTCCTCCTTCTCAGTTTCTCTGGGAAACCCATTGATTATCTAGCAATTAAAGAAAACAAATAATGTTTTGTCTAATTCTACAGTTAATTTCAAAGGAAGATTAATTTCTCTAAAACTTAAGGGTTACAAAAAGAAAACATGCAGTTAGTGACAAGCAAAATTGTAACACCTCGTAACATACCTTATTGTCAGATACCTCATGGCCCATTGCAGTTAAAATACTTGTCATGGTAGCTTGGTAAACATTCCAGATACATGCGTGACTAAATTTCTTACAGCTTGGAGACACGGAAAAGAAAGGATTGTGGCATGACCATTTCTCTTTCTCTCTGCCCATGTGGGGATGGCATACACACCCTGGCAAAGAAAAGAAAGGAAAGAACACAAATTTGAAAGAAGACAAGTAAATTTACAAAAGACTATTTTTATGGATACTGTAAAACTAGGTATAGAAGTACTGCATGGAAATAATATACTCCATTATTAATTCCAGTATTCAAATACTGACAATCCTGAAACTGAGACCAGAAGCTGCTATGGTAGTTATTGCTGGACTCCCAAATGGCCATCTGTGGTTTTAGTCCATGACTTGGCAGCTTGCTTTCTCTCTTTTCCTCTCTCTCTTTCTTTGTATGTTGAGTGTGTGTGCCTGTAGCAAATGGAAAAAAAAATAATAATGATAAATAAAATTATTATTTTCCAAAATAAAATTCTGAAATTGGGAATGGAAGTTTGCATAGTGGTTAAGGCCTAGACACCCACATGGCTCACTGTGGTTTGAGTCCCAGACCTGGTGACTTACTTTCTCCCTCTGGACACATTTTTAAAATCATAATAACAAAATAAAATTAAGTTAAATAATAAAATTTTAAAATTCTGAAACTACTTTATGTTTTTATGGGGTGAACCAATCTAGAGTAATAGTAACAACCACATTTCTAATTTTTGCCAAAAAAGATTTAGATAACAAACAGCAGGTAGATGACTTTAATTAGTCCTGTGGTATTTAATTAAGCTGTAGGTATCATGTTTGTCATGTTTTTTAAAGAATTATTTATCAATTATATTTATTATCATTTTACTTGACAGAGAGAGAGAAAGTTGGAAAGTAAGAAACCAGGTCCTGGTCTCCAACTACAGTTAGCATCTCAGCCACCATACAACCTGTGATATATGTGCATATATGTTCATACACACACACACAAACACGTTAGCCATGTCTCAGGCTTTTCTTCTCCATTCTGCCAAGTATGGGACTCGATTCATGCATGGTTAGTGATGTGGGAGTTCAGCACATTAACTCCCATGCCTGCCTGTCACTGTCACTTTATGAGAAGTAAAATACAGATATTCTGGTATATATTATATTACCTGTTCTATTTTTTAATTTTTTTATTTCTAGGCTTTGGGGTGAACCTGTTAATCTCCGCGAACAGCACGATGCTTTAGAATTTTTTAATTCTTTGGTGGATAGTTTAGATGAAGCTTTAAAAGCCTTAGGATATCCTGCTATGCTAAGTCAAGTCCTGGGAGGCTCTTTTGCTGATCAGAAGATTTGTCAAGGCTGCCCACATAGGTGAGTAGTATTTACTTTTTTTCCTTAACTACCAGAGGATGTGTATACTCATCAGAAAGTGACAGGAGTGGTAGTAGAAAATGTCCTTCCCAAAGAGGCCTGAAAGTGCTTGTTGCATTCGCTATCCTGTCTGGATTTGGAGCATGCACATATTCCTAAAAAAAATTTTTTTTTTCCTAACCAACTGAGTTTTATTTCCTGTATAAACCAAACCATCTAACATCTTTCAGGTGAAAAAATACTGAATTTGAGTAAAGATATTACAAAATGAATTAGAGCCCAATAATAATTAGCTTTGGGGAGGGAACATAATTCTATTCAGTTAAGGCAAACATGTTTATAGACCACAGATTAGTTTATTTTCAGCACCCATCATGCCATGAATTCATAGGGAATAGGTTCCAGTAGCTCAGGCTTGTTTCCATTGGTTCTCAAAAAATGTGTTTCTCTGGGTGGAGCAGACTGGCGCTTCAGTTGAACCCTCGTACCTTTCTCTTTGGCTTCTTTCTTTTTCTCATCATTTTCCTTCACACGTTTTAGGAAGCTATCTCTGCTCTTAGAATGTTTAATATGCTTAATACACACATTGATTCTCTTGGCAAGAATCTTGCTCTTAACTTGTTTGTTCACAGCAATGCCAGCAGCATGCTGGGTAACATTGTAGACTACTTCCAGTTTTGCCATAGTAACATTTGTGGGGCATTCGTTTTTGAACAGTACCCATTCCCTTAATGTCTACAATATCCCATTTCTTTTAGATTCGCATATATGTTGCCAAAGGAACAACTCCATGTTTTCTGAAGGGCCTCGAGAACATATATCGGGTGTCTCTCCTGTTTCCTGTTGTGTTCATCATTTTGGTTCATTACTGGAAGATGGCAGTTCCAGCCAAAAGGCCCTGACATGTTTTTCAAGCCAAGATTAGGACTCAAAACTATAGTCAGCCATGTAGTATATGGCTCCTTTTACCACAAGCCCATGGGGCTGGCCCCTTAGCACTATTTCCTTTTTTAGTACTGTTTCCTTTTTTTCATTATTCAATTCGATGTATTTATTTATTTTAATTTGCCCAGAAGGACAGAATGAAAGAGAGAGAGAAAGTGAGAAAACAAGCTGCTAGGTTCAGGACTTAAATTGTGATCAATCATTTGGGAGTCCTGCACTCTTAACCACCATGCCACCTGCTGGTCACAATTATTTCCATTTTTTTAATGTGTACTTCATTTTGGTCCTCCACATACACATTTTTAAAAACCTTTTCTTAATTTTGCTATAGGGCACATGCATCTGCTGGAGAGAGAGGAGAGAAAAGGGAAATGAAAAAGCACTCCCTGGCCCACTACAATCCCATCTCCATTATCCTCTCAGGATTTTGGGCATGCTCATACATGTGCCTGATTTGTTTTTCAAGCCACTGGGACTGGGACTTTTACCATGCAGCATGTGGGACCAGCTACCTTAACTATCATACCACTAATTGGTCCATGTTGGTTCTTTTTTTTTGAGAGGTTTTTGCTATAGGGTGCATGTGTTCGCTAGAAAGAGAAATAAAAGCGAGAAATCACCCACCAGAGGGGTGACCGCAGCAGTGTCTTTTCTTCCATTCTCCTCTCGGGATCTTGGACACACATGCACACGTGCCCGCTGTCAGTTTTAGCTAACAGGTCTGAGACTCAAACTGTGTTTGACTACATGGGAATTCAGTGACATAACCGTTGTGCTAACTGCTGGTCCCAGTTCTTTTCTGAATAGTGTAAATCAGGTATTAAACAGCACTACATAAAAGAAGAATCTATAAATTATTACTGAATTCCTAGGACTGGAATGTATTATATTGAGTTGGGTATGCCCTTAATTTTCCACTTCCTGGTAATGTCTGGTTCTTTCACTCTGCTTGCTATTTTATTACCTTCTCATGTGTCCTTTCTTGTTTTGTCATACTCTGATAGATAATATGACCAAAGTATGACAAAGTTAGATATGTTTGCTTATTAAACCATTTAGTAATTCTTAACACCATGTTCTGTGTTTTAGACATAGCAAAAAGAAACTCATGTGTTAACGATTCCTAATCAAAGCAGATAACTAATAGTTTGAAAAGTTTTTTGATGAACATATATTATTATGTAGAAGTATTACTTTAGTACTTGGCTTGTTAGGTTGAAACGTTGATTTGAAATATTTCACAACAAAATATTACAGTAAGTTTATATTTTTTACATGATAGACATGTGTGTGTGTGTGTGTAATATATATATATATATATAGAGAGAGAGAGAGAGAGGTCGGGCTAGGAAATGATTTTAGATTGTCAGAACCTATACATTCAGAAGATAAAACATTTATTTACCTTTCTTAGTCTGCTTTCAGTTGTTATAAAAAACATCGTATATTATGGATAAGAAGAAGTACCCAACTTTGAGTTCTAAGAGGTGGCATGGTACTTAAGGTATTGGATTCCCATGTGAGAGTCCATGGTTGAGTCCTGGACCCAGCAGCTCGAAAAATCACACCGGGTACATGTACGTGCTGTCCAAAAACTGGAGAAGGGAATGGTGGAAATAGGAGTATGGCAAAGTCATTCCCACTGTGGAGTGATTTCTTCCTTTCCCTTTCTCACTATGTATTTATTTATTTTAATTTGCCCAGAAGGACAGAATGAAAGAGAGAGAGAAAGTGAGAAAACAAGCTGCTAGGTTCAGGACTTAAATTGTGATCAATCATTTGGGAGTCCTGCACTCTTAACCACCATGCCACCTGCTGGTCACAATTATTTCCATTTTTTTAATGTGTACTTCATTTTGGTCCTCCACATACACATTTTTAAAAACCTTTTCTTAATTTTGCTATAGGGCACATGCATCTGCTGGAGAGAGAGGAGAGAAAAGGGAAATGAAAAAGCACTCCCTGGCCCACTACAATCCCATCTCCATTATCCTCTCAGGATTTTGGGCATGCTCATACATGTGCCTGATTTGTTTTTCAAGCCACTGGGACTGGGACTTTTACCATGCAGCATGTGGGACCAGCTACCTTAACTATCATACCACTAATTGGTCCATGTTGGTTCTTTTTTTTTGAGAGGTTTTTGCTATAGGGTGCATGTGTTCGCTAGAAAGAGAAATAAAAGCGAGAAATCACCCACCAGAGGGGTGACCGCAGCAGTGTCTTTTCTTCCATTCTCCTCTCGGGATCTTGGACACACATGCACACGTGCCCGCTGTCAGTTTTAGCTAACAGGTCTGAGACTCAAACTGTGTTTGACTACATGGGAATTCAGTGACATAACCGTTGTGCTAACTGCTGGTCCCAGTTCTTTTCTGAATAGTGTAAATCAGGTATTAAACAGCACTACATAAAAGAAGAATCTATAAATTATTACTGAATTCCTAGGACTGGAATGTATTATATTGAGTTGGGTATGCCCTTAATTTTCCACTTCCTGGTAATGTCTGGTTCTTTCACTCTGCTTGCTATTTTATTACCTTCTCATGTGTCCTTTCTTGTTTTGTCATACTCTGATAGATAATATGACCAAAGTATGACAAAGTTAGATATGTTTGCTTATTAAACCATTTAGTAATTCTTAACACCATGTTCTGTGTTTTAGACATAGCAAAAAGAAACTCATGTGTTAACGATTCCTAATCAAAGCAGATAACTAATAGTTTGAAAAGTTTTTTGATGAACATATATTATTATGTAGAAGTATTACTTTAGTACTTGGCTTGTTAGGTTGAAACGTTGATTTGAAATATTTCACAACAAAATATTACAGTAAGTTTATATTTTTTACATGATAGACATGTGTGTGTGTGTGTGTAATATATATATATATATATAGAGAGAGAGAGAGAGAGGTCGGGCTAGGAAATGATTTTAGATTGTCAGAACCTATACATTCAGAAGATAAAACATTTATTTACCTTTCTTAGTCTGCTTTCAGTTGTTATAAAAAACATCGTATATTATGGATAAGAAGAAGTACCCAACTTTGAGTTCTAAGAGGTGGCATGGTACTTAAGGTATTGGATTCCCATGTGAGAGTCCATGGTTGAGTCCTGGACCCAGCAGCTCGAAAAATCACACCGGGTACATGTACGTGCTGTCCAAAAACTGGAGAAGGGAATGGTGGAAATAGGAGTATGGCAAAGTCATTCCCACTGTGGAGTGATTTCTTCCTTTCCCTTTCTCACTGTCTCTCTAGTAAGTGCCTATACCCACTAACAACTTATTTTTTAAAAAGTACCTAACTTTTTGGGAACCAGCAGTTAGTGTAATGGCTATGTTGCTGGACTCCCACATAGCGCTGGACTCCCACATAGTCGACCTCGGTTCGCGTCCCAGACCTGGTTGCTTAAAACTCACGCTGGGCGCATGTGCGTGCGTGCCCAAGATCCTGAGAGGAGAATGCAGGAGAAGGGATTGCGGCGTGACCATCCCCCCTGGGGGGTGATTTCTTGCTTTCTGCTTCTATGTTTCTCTCTGTCTGTCTGGCGAGCGCACGCGCCCTATACTATAGCGAATCCCCCTTTCCCCCCCAAAAAAAAGTACCTAACTTTTTGATCATCTGTTCCTGTTATTGCTCATTAGTTATCTTAATTTTATTCTTTTTATTTTTTTTAAGAGATATTTTTGCTATAGGGCTTACATGCTCGCCACAGAGACGGAAAATGAGAAATCACCCCCTGGTGATGACCACGCTGCAGTCCCTTCTCGTTCATCGTTCTCTTAGCGTTTTGGGCACACATGAACTTGGTCCTGGCATAAGTTTTAAGGTGCCAGGTCCGAGACACAAACCATGATCAACTACATGGGAGTCCAGTGACATAACCATTAGGCTATCTGCTGGTCGCAGTTTTCTTTATTATTTTATTATTTTATTTTTTGGAGAAGTTTTTGCTGTAGGTCTCGTGCACTCACCAGAGAGACAGAAAGCAAGAAATTACACCCCGGGGGAATGGCCACGACACAATCCCTTCTCCTCCTTTCTCCTCTTGGGATCTTGGGCACGCACCCACACATACCCCATGTGAGTTTAAGCCACCGGGTCTGGGACTTGAACTGTGGTCGACTAAATGGGAGTCCAGCAACATAGCCTTAACCCTAACTGCTGGTCCCAGTTTTCTTCATTTTTAAGAAGTAGCTGAAAAATCAGTATTTCATTATGTTAACTTAAAATGTCTGTGTATCATAAATACATGCTCCAAGTAAACTTGTTATATATTAGGAGAATTCATGGAATTCATGGAAGTCTCTGATCATACAAGGTGTGTTTTAGAATATTCTTTTTTTTTTTTTTTGGGGTGCTTTTTCCTCTAGGGCGTGTGCATTTGCCAGAAAGACAGAGAGAGACAGAGACAGAAAGCGAGAAATCAGCCCCCACATGGGATGGCCACACTGCAATTGGTTCTTTTCCATTCTTTTCTTGGGATCTTGGTTATGCAAACATTCTGCATGAGTTAAAACCATTGGGTCCAGGACTTGAACTGGTTGACTACATGGGAGTCCTGCAACATAGTCACCACACCAATTGCTGGTCCCCTAGAATATTCTTTTTAGCTGGATGTTCAGTTATTCTGTGAGGTATCATTTTGCTCTTTTGTAGAGTGTTTACATAGCAACTGATCACATAGCAACTTGTGTAGTAAGTCATTCATTCATTATTTTTTGGACCTGTCTTGTTTTTTCTAACTTAATCCAGAAGTTTCTGAAAGTGAGGGGCTGTGCTCTACATTTATAGGTATATGTTATATGACACTTGCTCTTGAAATCTTTGGATGGATGAATTTAATAATGAGAATTCTTCCCTTGCTATTTTCTGTGTTTAGCAGTCTATATCATCAGAAACTTTGAAACCCTTTTTAGAAAATCACCATGCTGCGGGTTGCTTACTCATTCCCATATTATTATTCCATACTTGTTTTTATAAATGAAACAGTTGAGCATATCAGTTGTTTTAACTTGTGCAGATACTGAGGAATATTTAAAAATGTGTTTGTTTGTTTACTTTCATTAATAGTTTAGAAATAGTATTTTTCTCCCTAAACTTGAATCCTTTTACCTTAGTAATTATTATTTAAATAGGTAGTACACATGGCTATATGATAAAGAGGTTAAACAGTCCAGGAATGGCTGGCTGGAAATCACCACTCACTCTCACAAACTGGACCAAATCATTCTTTTTAATAAAGGTTTTTCTTCTTCTTCTTTTTTTTTTTTGTATTACAGAGATTTTTGGTATAGGGCATGTGTGCTCACCAGAGAGATGGAGAGATAGAAAATGAAAAATGACTCCCCACCCCAGGGTGGGGGTTGGCCATACCAAGTACCCTTCTCCTCCACTCTCTTTTTATGATTTTGGGCACATACACATATGTGCCCATCGTGTTTCAAGCGGCTGGATCTGGAACTCAAACTTTGATCAGCCGCGTGGGAGTCCAGTGTTGTAACCATTACTCCATCTGCTGGTCCCCTGTTTTATTTTCTTTAAGTTGTTTCTAACACACTTTTTGTAAAGGTGAATATAAGCAATAATGCGTATAAAGTATCTTAATATAGTACCCATTCTAAAGTGGCAAGTGAAAGAAAAGTTACTTATTAATAATACTGCTAATTTATTTTATATCATTTAATGTTATAAGTTTATTCTTAGAATTTTAATAATTTCTTAAATAATATATTTAGATACGAATGTGAGGAATCTTTCACAACTTTGAATGTGGACATTAGAAATCATCAAAGTCTTCTTGACTCTTTGGAGCAATATATCAAAGGAGATTTATTAGAAGGTGCAAATGCATATCATTGTGAAAAGTGTGATAAAAAGGTACGTTTTTAAAAACGTAATTATAACTGTATTAAGGAAAGTAGGGGAAATCAGTTGTTTATACTCTTCGATTTAACTACACTCTTTTCACTTTATTGACGTGGTTGCAGAGGGGTAGGAAAAATGATAAATGATCTAAAGATGTCAGTGATAGAATATTGAGAAAAAATTGTGCACAGTATACTAGGAAAAACTTTCTTTATTAAAAAAGTGAATCATTGTATTTTCGTGTGTGTGTGTCACTGTTGTTAAATTCTACAGTTTTAAGAAATGAGACATTATTTACATATTTTTTAATTTAAACATTGTTTAAAATTTCATTATGATACAGTTAGCCTGATTGTGTTCACTATAATTTATTTATCTATTTATTGTAGGTTGATACAGTAAAGCGCTTGCTAATTAAAAAATTGCCTTGTGTTCTTACTATCCAACTGAAACGATTTGATTATGATTGGGAAAGAGAATGTGCAATCAAATTCAACGATTATTTTGAATTTCCACGAAAGTTGGATATGGAACCTTACACAGTTGCAGGTGTTGCAAAGCTGGAAGAAGATAATGTGAATCAAGAGAGTATTTTGATTGAACAGAATGAGCAATCAGAAAGTGAGCTTGCAGGAAGCACAAAATACAGACTTGTAGGTGTGCTTGTACATAGTGGACAAGCAAGTGGTGGGCATTACTATTCTTACATCATTCAAAGGAGCAGTAAAGATGGTGAGAGAGATCACTGGTATAAATTTGATGATGGAGATGTAACGGAATGTAAAATGGATGATGATGAAGAAATGAAAAATCAGTGTTTTGGTGGAGAGTACATGGGAGAAGTATTTGATCATATGATGAAGCGCATGTCATACAGGCGGCAGAAAAGGTGGTGGAATGCTTATATACTTTTTTATGAACGTATGGACACAATAGAGGAAGATGATGAGATGATAAGATACATATCAGAACTAACAATCACAAGACCCCATCAGATTACTATGTCACCAGCCATTGAGAGAAGTGTACGGAAACAAAATGTACAATTCATGCATAACCAAATGCAGTATAGTTTAGAATATTTTCAGTTTGTGAAAAATCTGCTTACATGTAATGGTATTTACTTAAACACTGCTCCAGGTAAGTTCCTGGAAATTAACTTCTTATTAAGAAAAGATTTTATTTTTAGTTCCCAAAGAGCACTGGTGCTCACCAGAAAGAAAACATGAGAGAGAGAAAGAGCACTTTAAAGTTTCCAGCAGTTAGCATAATGGCTGTTGCTGGACTCCCATGTTGTCTGCTTCAGTTCAAGTCCCAGACCTGGTGATTTAAACTCAGGCCAGGCACATGTGCATGCGTGCTCATGATCCCAAGAGGAGAATGGAAGAGAAGGATTGCGGCGTGGCCATCCCCTCTGTGGCGTGATTTCTTGCTTTCTGTTTCTCTGTCTGTCTCTGTCTGGCTAGCGCCCGCTTCCTATGGCAAAAACCTTTCCAAAAAAAAAAAAAAGAGCACTTCAAAACCAGGCATGGTCTTACTGCAGCCCTTTTCTCTTTCCCATCAAGATTGTGTGTATATTTTCTAAGGCACCACTAAGTTCTGCCCTGTGTGTTGTCACTCCATTAACTACTGCATCACAGAACTGGCCTAGTTAAGTATTTCACTTGTAGGACTTTTTACCAGGCACCATATATATTTAATTTTTTTCTTCATTTTATTTTTTCCCCATGACACATTTTAATGTATCAAGGTAATTGATTAGCATGCTTGTCACCCAAAACACTTACCATTACTTTGTGTTGGGGATATTTAGAGCTTCTTGATGTTTTTCTGAAATAAATAATGACCCAGTTGTGGTAGTACAGGCAATAGGGACACTACTGCACAATGCTGGAGACAGTATGAAGGCTCTGGGTTCTGCCTGAATACTTGCATATGCCCACAAGGCAATCTCATGATTCTGCTGGGTTGCAGGACTAGGAGATAGATCTTGGTGTAAAGTCCCAGTCAAAGGTATGCCTTTCTCTATTACTCTCTTTTTCTCTCTCTCTCCCTCGGGAAATAAGCACAATCACACACACACATATAAATATATGTGTATATATGTTATTATATTACTCAAAAAGGAAAATATTTCATGACCCTGCCAATGACTACTACATGACTTTGGCTTTTTATTCATGTTATTATTTTAGGGTATTTTGGTGTTTTATTATACTGATTTTCTCTTCCATAACATGAGATTATTAATCTCAAACTTCAAATATAGAATGAAAATCTTCATAGTAATGGTAACAAAAAATCTATTGTTAATTGGTTAATCTAGGATACATAAGTACATAGAGGTTAAAGCACTAGACTCTCACATGGTCAACTGAGCCCTAGATGCGACAGCTTGAAACTCAGGCTAGGTGCGTGTGCACATGTGCCCATTATTCCAAGAGTAGAAGGGGTTGGCCTTCCTCCCTTGGGGGTGATTTCTTACTTTCTGTTTCTCTGTCCCTCCAGTGAGTACACATGCCCTATTGCAAAAATCACTTTAAAAAAATGCTTAATTTAGGGATAGCAGGTGGAGTGAGTGGAAGTTAAAATGGCTGGATCCCCCTTGGCCAGCTTTATTAATCAGATCCCAGGCCTCATCACTTGAAAGATTATGTTGGGCACAGTGTGTGTGTATCCAAAATCCTGAGAAGAGAATGGAGGAGTAGGGATTGTGGTATGCCATTTCCCCTGGGGGAGTGATTATTCAATTTGTTCTCTCTCTTTTCTCTATCTCTGCTGTGATCACAAATGCCCTAAAATAGACACTTTAAAAAAAAAAAAAGCTACTTAATCTGAATATGCCTTCTATTGGTCAAAATTAGGCCCATCTATTAATTTATATCTTCAATATATCATAACTTATTAATCTTTATGAAACTTAAGTCTCTTTTTACAAATAAAAGAATGGTTTTTAATGGCTCTCATTAGTAATTATTAATGTGCGGAGGACATTGCAGTACCTGATGTGAGAAATCTTTCAGCATTTGGAATAGGTGTTGAGATGTCACTGGAGTTTATTTCTTGGGTTATCTGGAAGTCGTGACCCACTTTTGCATAGAAAAACAGGAAAATGTCATGACTTTCTGGGTAGTAGAATTTTTTTTTTGTTTTACCATAATTTTCAGTTCCTCAGCAAAGTTACTTACCTTTATATTCCCTCTATCACCTCCTACCACTATTCTCTGTTTCTGTCACAATATTTAAGATCGAAAAGTTTGAGATTTACTTGTTTAAACACTGACTTAATACTGGAAAAAAATGAAAGAGCTTTATTGTACCACTTTTTTAATTGCCAGGGGGTGCATGCACCAGAGAGAGAATATGTACACTTTAGTGGGGCATAGTCACACCACAATTCCATTTCTCCATCCCATTGGTATTTTGGGGATACACGTCTGTCTGGTTATTTAAGTTGTTGGGACTGAGATTTGAACATTGGTTGACAACGTGTGTTTTAGCTCTGTTTACCTATATGCTTCAGAACTTGTCCCTATCGGAGTTTTTTTGTTTTTTTTTTTTTTTTGAGTCATGGCTTATATTAGTTTGAAACATGATTTACTGAGGTACTTAGATGATCAATAAGCATTGCTCTGAGCTAAGGTTGCTTTAACATGAAGCTTAAAAAAATGTTTTACGTATATGTTAATTTTTATTTAAAGGACAAGATCTTTTGTTTCCTGAAGCAGAAGAAATCTCCATGATTAGTGTTCAGCTTGCTGCCAGATTTCTGGGCTTATAGTAGTTTGAAACATGATTTACTGAGGTACTTAGATGATCAATAAGCATTGCTCTGAGCTAAGGTTGCTTTAACATGAAGCTTAAAAAAATGTTTTACGTATATGTTAATTTTTATTTAAAGGACAAGATCTTTTGTTTCCTGAAGCAGAAGAAATCTCCATGATTAGTGTTCAGCTTGCTGCCAGATTTCTGTTTACCACTGGATTTCACACTAAGAAGATAGTCCGTGGTCCTGCCAGTGATTGGTACAGGGTTTTAGATTATATTCATGTTATACTTAAAAGTGGTTTGGTTCTTTGTTAATGTTGTTTCTTCCTACCCCTAATCATGAGAGTATTATTTCAAACCTCAAATACAGAACAAAAATGTTGGTAGCAATGATGAGAGAAATCTAGTTAAAATTATACTTTCTCTACATATGCCTTTTATTATTAAAAATCAACTATTAATTTGTATCTTTAATCTCTTTAATTAGGGAGTATTAACCCTTATCTTTATGAAATTCTCATATGGTCTCTTTTTACAAATAGAAAGGTAGGTTTTTATATAGCTATAATCTTAAGTTATTACTAATTCTTAAAGTATAGATATCATACGTGATTTAATAACTCTTTCAGCATCATTTAAGTAAGATGTTAAAGAGATGTCATAGTACCAGGAAAAGTTTGATAATAGATTTACATAGTCCTAAAAACATTCTCATTTAATTTATTTTATGACTCTGTAGGAATATTACCACAAATCTTCATCTGTCCGATAGAAAACCAACTATGCCCATTAATTCTAGAAAATATCTTTGATCATTATTTGTTCATAGAAGAATAGCAATCAAAAATCTATAATTATAACAGTCAAAATAATAAAAACTGCTACAGTCATCCTCTCCTGCCCACAGAGGCTGTGATCCAAGATCATCAGTGATGCCAAAAAAGTGGATAATAACAAACCATATAGACCCAGCTTACTGGGTTCAGTTTAATGCTTCTAAGGTGGTGCAGAAGCAGTGTACTTTCAGTAGAAAATGTTAAGTCCTTTTACATTTTTTACTTTTTAGTATAGTATTCAGTTGAATGAGATATTTAGCACTTTATTGTAAATAGACTTTGTGTTAGATGATTTTGTCCACCTATTAGCGTGAGCATTTTTTGCACATATGTTAGGGAAAATTGCTAGTAGGATATTGTATAGGTTAGCTGTCCTAGTCAAATTTTGACTTAACAGTATTTTCATAGCCCCATTGTGCACTAAGGAACATCTATAAACACTGTAACAATAATAACCATAAAAGAGAACAGTTTTAACAACATACTTGTATAAAACTTGAGTAAATATAGTGTGTCTTTCAAACATCTTAATTGTACCATACTCAAGCAATTTTTAGACTGAGTAACCATAGGAAATAAAATCCAAGAGAAGGTGGTATTACTGTATTCATAGATACTTCTCTTTTAGGTATGATACACTGTGCCTTCTCCTCCGTCACAGCAAGAATGTACGTTTTTGGTTTGCTCATAATGTCCTTTTTAATGTATCAAACCGCTTCTCTGAATACCTTCTGGAATGCCCTAGTGCAGAAGTCCGGGGAGCATTTGCAAAACTTATAGTATTTATTGCTCATTTTTCCTTGCAAGATGGGTCTTGTCCTGTGTCTTTTGCATCTCCAGGATCTTCTAACCAGGTAATTGCACAATTTCTTTCTAGTAATTAAATACGTAGATGGATATTCTGCTTCTGTACATTTAAATCAGCAAATGTGTCTCAGTGTGATGTATTTACTATACTTAAATACTTATATACATATATAATTATGATACTTGTAAATTCTCATAATTATTTTATGAGAAAGAATAGTTACTATTGGGAATTTTGATAAATAAGGAAAAAATTTTCTGTTTATTTAGGCAAGGGCAGTTTTTATTAAATCTTCAGATTCCACATGTTTACGGTTTACTCAGTATTGACTAAATTTAAATCTTTCAAGTAGCATCAATGAAAAACTGTAACATTTTCTTAGAACTTATAACCATATACAGGTTACATAATTAAATCAGTTTCCACTCTTTATTCTCTCTCAAGGCATAGTTATTTAATGCAGTTCTTACTATCTATAGATGTAATCCTTTTTAATGCAAATTGAGTTGTACTGTTTTTGCATTCTTGCTGATCGAATGACTGATATCCTTAACAGGTGTGTGATAATTTGAGCTTGAGCGATCATTTACTAAGAGCAGTACTGAATCTCTTGAGAAGGGAAGTTTCAGAGAATGGCCGTCATTTACAGCAGTATTTCAATTTGTTTGTAATGTATGCCAATCTAGGTAAGAGCTTTATATAACTAATGATTATTTTATATTTATATACTAGATGATGAAGACAGTTTAATCCAATGATGAAGTAGAATTTACATTTTAAAACTTTAAAACTCATTACAGTGTCTGGCAGGTGGTGTGGTGGTTAAAGTGCTGGATTCTCAGATGACTGTTGTTCGAATCCCAGACCTGGCAGCTTGCTTTCTCAGGTTCTCTTTCTCTCTTTCTCTCTCTCTCTCTGGTCAAATTTTTTTTTTTTTTTGAGAGTTTTTTCGCTTTAGTGCGTGTGCGCTTGCCAGACAGACAAAGAGAGACAAAGTGAGAAATCACCCCCCAGGGGGGATGGTCACGCCACAATCCCTTCTCCTCCATTCTCCTCTCGGGATCTTAGGCACGCACACACACGCGCCCAGTGTGAGTTTTAAGGACCGATTCCAGGATGCGAACTGCAGTCAACTATGTGGGAGTCCAGCGACATAGCCATTACGCTAACTGCTAGTTTCCATCTCTCTGGTCAAATTAAAATAATAACAACAACAAATGGAACTAAATAAATAAATTACCATTTAAAAAAAACTTATTACAAATTTTCTGTATAACTATCTTTGTAGAATTATTTATTTAATTTTGTTTATCATTATTATTATTTTTGAAAATTTGCTACAGGTATGTGCACATACCAAAGAGAGAGAGAGAGAGAGAGCTAGCTACCAGGTCTAGGACTTGAAGTGTGACCAGCTATGTTAAAGTCCAGTGCCTCAACTACTACATCAGCTGCCGGTGCCTCTATGTAATTTTTTATAGCACTTGCTGCACAATATAAAATGTATGTACTTTATCTTCTTGGTCATCCTATGATGTCAGATACATGTCCGATTCAGGTTTTTAATCTATCCTTTTTATAAACTGCTAGGCAATATGCATGTGACCAGGGAGATATATAAAGAGATAAGAGTGAGGAAGAGATGAAAACCACTCCCTAGTGGGATATAGTCAGGCTGCAATTCCTCTTCCTCTATTTCTTCATCTCACCAGTGTTTTGGGGACGCACACACCACCTGTGCCCTGTGTATTTTCAAGCTGCCAGAGCCAAGATTGGTTAGCCATGCAGAATTCAGGGCTTTTAATCAGTAGACCCTCGAGCCAGTCCCATGTTTATCTCTGTTGGAAAAATGCCTCTTTGGGAAAAATACTTATATCCAAGCCACGTTCACCCATTTGTTTGTTTGTTTGTTTATTTGTTTTTAGAGAGATTTTTGCTATAGGGCACCTGTGCTTGCCAGTGAGACAGAGAGAAAGAAAACTAGAAGTCTTCCCCCATGGGTGGGTGGCCACAGTCTTGACTCATCAACCCTCTTCTCAGGATTTTGGGGACACACATGCATAATGGTCAGGTTTAGAAATTATTTCCTGAAGAACTAATAGTGTGTACATACTTTTTTGTTAAACTAAATCGAAATTGGTGTTAATGTAAATTAGCAATTTACTTTATTTTTTAAATTAATGTCAGTGTCATTTCCATTATGTCCTTATTTTAAGAGCCTATTTTTTTCTCACATCACCTACAAACCTTTTTCAAAAGTTTTGTTATCTTTACCTAAGAACTTATGTTATGGTTAATCTATTGTGTTTTGATGGTTTTTAACATTTTTGTCTTGCTTACAACTAGCCTGTAGAATTTTTACAGTTGAACATTTGATTAGTAGTACTCAGTCACTATTGAATAAATGGATGGATAGTAAAAAAAAAATAAGTTGAAAATTATTCTAAGGAATATAAATTTTAAAAATTTTAATTTGGGACCAACATATGGCATAATGGTTGTATCACTAGACTCCCGCGTAGGTGACTATGGTTGGAGTCTGGGTACCAATGGCTTAAAATTCATACCTGGGGCATGTGCATATGTGCCCAAAATCCTGAGTGGAAAGTGGCTTGGCAGTCTCCAAGTTGTGTAACTTCTTGCTTTCTGTCTCTTTGTCTTTCCAGCAGGCACATGTACCGTATAGCAAAAACTTTGTGGCATGTGGTGTGGTGGCTATGCTCACTGGACTCCGGCATGGTTAACTGTCGTTCGAGTTTTGGATGGGATGGCTTACTTTCTTTTTTTTTTTAAGAGTTTTTTTCACTATAGGGCACATGTGCTTGCCAGACAGAGAGACAGAAAGGGAGAAATCACCCCCCAGGGTGGATGGTCACGCCGCAATCCCTTCTCCTCCGTTCTCCTCTCGGGATCTTGGGTACGCATGCACACGCGCCCGGCATGATTTTTAAGCCACTGCGTCCGGGACGTGAACCGTGGTCGACTACGTGGGAGTCCAGCGACATAGCCATTATGCTAACTGCTGGTTTCCAGGATGGCTTACTTTCTAACTTTCCCTCTCTCCTTCTGTTCCTCTCTGGTCACATTAAAATAAATAAGTTAAAGGGAAATAAAATAATTCTTTAAAGAAATGTTAGTAACATTAAATATCTGTCTGATTTTTTGAGAAATTAATTCAGAAAATTGTCATAATTTTGAATAACTTTTTTAAGATTATGAGCATCTAACTCCAGTTTTATTACCATGTGTTTCTCTTTTTTTTTAAAGAATTATTTTATTTAACTTTATTTGTTCATTTATTTCAATTTAACCGGAAGTGAACAGAGTGTATGCATAAAAGGGGGGAGAGACACAGAGAGAGAGATAAACTGAGAAAGGTAGCTGCCAAGTCTGAGACTTGACGCATGGTCGGCAAACGTGGGAGTCCACACCCTTAACTACCATGCCATCTGGCAGGCTATAGGGCACCTGTGCTTGCCAGAAAGACAGAGAGAGAGAGAAAGAGAGAAATCATCCCCTGGGAGGATGGCTATGCTGTAGTCCCTTCTCTTCCATTCTCTTGGGATCTTGGGCACCCATGCGTAAGCTGCCACTGTGAGTTTAAGATGCCGGGTCTGGGACTTGAACTGTGGTTGGCTACATGGATGTCCAGCGATGTAGCCATTACACCATCTGCTGTTCCCACCCCATCACAGTTTCTTTTCTGGACAACCAATGAACATAATTTTCTAAGGTTTTGTCTGTGCACTGACCTGCAAGAGAGACAGAAAATGAGAGGGAAATTAAGAAATCACCATACACAAAATGAGGAGGAAAATAAGAAATCAACATGGTCAGTGACTTCTTCATTCTCCTCTGGGGAGCTTGAGTACACATGCATACATGCCTAGTGTGATTATCAAGCCTTTACCTTTCTTGTTTTTTTTTTAACTATAATACTTAACTATCCTAACCATGTTCGGGACTTGAAATGTGGTTAGCCATGTCAGGGGGGTGGCCATGCCACAACCCCTTGTCCTCCATTCTCCTCTCGGGATCTTGGGCACACCTGCACATGTGCCCAGTGTGAGTTTAAACCACAAGGTCCAGGATTCGAACTGTAGTCAACTACATGGGAGTCCAGCAACATAGCTAATTATGCCAACTGCTGGTCCTCATGAACTTTTAAAAAAATAAGAAAACACTTTTGTGTGTGTGTGTGTGTGTGTGTGTGTGTGTGTGTTCTCCTCCCATCCCCCACAGTGTCTACATGCTTGTCAGAAAAATAGAGTGAAAATGAAAAAATCACCTCCCAAGAGTGATGGCTACACCACAATCCATTCTCTTCCATTCTCCTCTTATAATTCATGCATACTTGCTTTGACTTGGTGTCAGTTTTCCAGCCGCCGGGTCCACGGTTTAAATTGTAGGCAACCTTATGGGAGTCCAGCACTTTAATCCACACCACCTGCTGGCTTGGAGATGAGCTTAAAATTAAGATTGTAGGCAGTTTGATCATTACTTTTTTTTCTTAACTATTACACTTAACTATCCTAACTTTTTTTTTTTTTTTAAAAGGGGGGGCAGAGCAAAGACACAACTTCTGAAATTGAATGTACCTGCTACCTTTATGCTTGTGTCTCTAGATGAAGGACCAGGTCCTCCAATCAGATATCAGTATGCAGAATTAGGCAAATTATATTCAGTAGTATCTCAGCTGATCTGCTGTTGTAATGTCTCAGCAAGAATGCAATCTTCAATCAATGGTAAAATAGAATGTTTAGTTCTGTTTAATAGTTTTTTAAATAATTGCATCTTCTTATCATACATATATCAGCTGTTTTGAAAATTTATTCAAATGGAGAGTCTGAAAGCCCATGCTTCCATAATGCTGTTTTAAACTTTGAGCATTTTCACTTGCTTTAAAAGGAACTTTTTATCCCCTTGAGATTACGTACTATTATAAATAATTATGAACAGGTAGGTTTCAGAATGTTTTAACTTTTCACCATCATTTGTATGTTTACATTATGTTTTATTGTATATCTGATTATTTTAATAAATTTCTTTTATGTGGTCGGGAAACAATTTAAAATCAGACTTCAGGAGCCTGTAGGTGTCGTAGTGCTTAAAGTTTTAGACTCCTATATGGTAGATAACAGTTTGAGTCCTGGACCTTGTGGTTTGAAACACATGCTGGGTATATGTGCATGCATGACCAAAATTATAAGAAGAGAAGGAAGAAGGGATTGCAGCTTGGTCATCCACCCTGGGGTGGTGATTTCTTGTTCTCTGTCTTTTTCTCTCCAGCTAGTACACATGCCCTATAGCAAGACCCTCTCGCTCTACAAATAATGATGATAATAATACTACTTAATTTTTGAAATAAATTTTGGGAGAAGTATATTGGCTTTTCATTGGTGACAAATCTGTTCTAGGTAATCCTCCTCTTCTCAACCCTTTTGGTGACCCTAATTTATCACAACCCATAATGCCAATTCAGCAGAATGTTGCAGATATTTTATTTGTGAGAACCAGTTATGTGAAGAAAATTATTGAAGACTGCAGTAACTCAGAGGAGACCATCAAATTGCTTCGTTTTTGCTGCTGGGAGAATCCTCAGTTCTCATCTACTGTCCTGAGTGAACTTCTCTGGCAGGTTAAAGAAAATTAAACATTTATATGTTATAATTTTTTAAAATTTACTTTAAATAAGTAATTCACTATGCTTGATCTGTTTATAGGTTGCATATTCATACACATGTGAACTTCGACCATATTTGGATCTACTTTTGCAAATTTTACTGATTGAGGACTCCTGGCAGACTCATAGGTAGATACCAGATACTCTTTTCTCTCATAATTTCTGTGTTTCAGAAGTAATTGAAATTGCCAGTAGCCAAATACATTTTCACTTTTTGCAGCTTTCTTTAATTTTTTGTCGGTCATATTACTTACTTGTATGTATTTTCTTACTCTTTGAATTCAAGTTAATTTTATCCTGCCAAATCATATTATGGTGACATAGATACTAGATCCCAACATTTCTGAAAAAAATGAAGTAACTTCCACATGCTTATCATGGTTCTAGTCAGACCCAGTGGCTTGGAAATTATACCAGGCTTGTGTGCATCTGTGCCCGAGATTCTAAGAGAAGTGATTGTACTGTTGCCAACCCCCTCTCTGGCAAGTGCATGCACCCAATGGCAAAAACCTGAAAGAAAAAAGTAACATGAATTATTTTCAACAAAACAATCTTGAAAACTCATGTGTTAGCAATTAATCCAAGATAATGTAGTGTATTATTTTCAATTCACTTTCAGTAATATGTTTAAATTATATAGGAAACTCATTTTGAATAGTGTTTAGATGGTTATAAGCTCAAGACTGTTGAGTCAGACTGCCAGCTTCTCCCCAACTTGCTAGCTATGTAATATTTGATGAGCTATTCAATCTCTGATTTTGTTTCTCTTCTGTTAAAGTAGATACTCTAGTTAATCTATTTTCCTTTAAAAATTTTTTTTTAGAAAATAAAGGAAATTAACTTGTTAATGAGATACTACAGTGATATAAAACACATGTATAGAATGGTACATAATGGGCACTCACATATTAGCTACTACTACATACAAATTTTAATATCTGGTTCTTTTTTAGAATTCATAATGCAGTTAACGGAATCCCAGATGACCGAGATGGGCTGTTTGATACAATCCATCGCTCTAAGAATCACCATCAAAAAAGAGCATATCAATGTATAAAATGTATGGTAGCTCTGTTTAGCAGTTGTCCTGTTGCTTACCAAATCTTACAGGTGAGTTTTTCTTAAAATTCTATAGAAATCCTAATGGAAGTTAAAAGACTACTTTTTATATACTTATTTTTTTCGGAGAGTTTTGTTTGTTTTCTTTTACTATAGGGTGCATGCCCTTGCCAAAGAGACAGACAGAAAGTGAGAAATCACTCTCCGGGGGGAAGGGCATGCCACAATTCCTTCTCCTTCATTCTCCTCTAGGGATCTTGGTATGCACGCAAAAGTGCCCAGCATGAGTTTAAGCCAACAGGTCTGGGACTTGAACTGTGGTTGACTGCATGGGCGTCCAGCAACATAGCCATTACGCCAACTGCTGTTCCCAAACCTACTTTACAAGGAAATAATCATGAATATTTGGAGTTGACATTTTAAATTTATATTGGAAAGTGTTGTAAATTATTTCACACATACAATTTATTTTCTCTTGCAGGGCAATGGAGATCTTAAAAGAAAGTGGACCTGGGCAGTCGAATGGCTTGGAGATGAACTTGAAAGGAGACCATATACTGGCAATCCTCAGTACAGTTACAATAATTGGTCTCCACCGGTTCAAAGCAATGAAACATCAAATGGTTATTTCTTAGAGAGATCACATAGTGCTAGGATGACACTTGCAAAAGCTTGTGAACTCTGTCCAGAGGAGGTAAAAAAAGCTACCAATGGGAAGCAGATACAAATGGAAAAAAAAGAAAAGTATCTTTTTATTATATAGGATAGTGTTTATTAATGATTGCATCTTTTAAAATGTGCTGCCATATATTTCTTTTGATGGTTAGCATTTGCTGATTTGTACCTTTTTGGGGGGAGATGGAGGTTAATTTGACATAATACATGTCTGCTTAAGGATAGAGGGAGAGAAAAGAATGAGAGCCAGCAATCCCTCAGTGACAGCTATTCCACAGTCTTTTCTTCTCCATTCTTTTCTCTGATCAGGATCTTTGGCATTCTTAAAGCACATGCCGTCAGGTCTGGAACTGGACATCACAGCCAGCCATGTTGAGATCATCGCCCAGTTATCACACCACCAGCTGGTCCCGATTTGTTCTTTTCCTTCTGATTGAAATTAATTAATTTTAAAATTTACATTTAATCATTTCACATGTTTGCAGTGTATAGGATGGTTTTCCAGAGCCTGCATGTAGCATGTGTCAGTCAAATCAGAGATACTGCTATATAAATCATCCTCAACAGAAAACTACTCTGTTTTTAGAGAGGTTTTTGCTATAGGGTATGTGTGTTCACCAAAAAGACAGAAACAGAAAGTGAGAAATCACCCTCTGATGGGATGGCCACACTGCAGTCTCTTCTTCATTCTCCTCTCAGGATCATGGGCATGCACATACACGCATACGCACCTGCACCCGGAATTTGAACTGCTGTTGACTATATGAGACTCAACGACGTAGTCATGCCAGCTGCTGGTCCTAACAGAATTTTCCTTTCTGTCTACTTTCTATAGTGTCTAGTATCTATGCTAGGCCTCCGTGCTATTATTTATTTTCCCATCTTCCAGTTTCTTCATTAAGTACAATCCTTTTTCTTTCATTCTCTTGGACTTTGGAACACATGACTTATTTTTCAAGCCACCACGTCTGGGATTTAAACTTGGTTGGCAGTGTTGGAGTCTGGTTTCTTAACTACCATACCACCTGTTGACCTACATGTGGTTAAGGGAATTGGATCTCACATGGCTCACTCCACAGTTTGGTTCTTAATTTTCTTTCATTTTTTTTCTTTTTTTGCTATAGCACGTGTGCACTCACCAGAAAGTCAGTGAGAAATCACTCCCCGGGAGGATGGCCGCGTGGCAATCCATTTTCCTCTTGGGATCTTTGGTACGCACGCACACGTGCCTGTTGTGAGTGTAAGCCATCGGGTCCCTGACTCGAACCGTGGTTGACTACACAGGAGTTCTGTGACATAACCATTATGCTAACTGCTGGTCCCTTATTACTTTATTTTTAAAAGAATTATTTCAGATATGACATAAGGATTTAATATGTTTGTCACTATGAACTACACAGCCGTGTGAGATCCAGTGACAAAAACAATTTTCTTTTAGGAAAATAACTAAAAGTTCAATTTAAATTTTTTTTATTATAAGTTATTTTAAATACAGCAACTATAAGGACTAGGAGCTGGAGTAATGGTTACGTCACTGAACTCCCATTTTAGTCAACTGTTTTTTGAGTCCCAGCTCTGTTGGCTTAAAAATCACACTGGGCACCTGTGCATGCATGCCCAAAACCCCAAGAAGAGAATGGAGTAGAAGAGATTGCAGCATGGTCATCCCCTCTGGGGGGGTGATTTCTCACTTTCTCTATGGTATGTGCACACACTCTGTGGCAAAAAATCTCTCATAAATAAACAAATAAATAGAGTAAATATGAAGGTGTTTGAAGGCCAGACAGTGGCATGATGCTTCTATATGGCTGCCTCTGAGGTTCATGTTCTTGATCCAGTGTGGCTTAAAAAACATATTGGGCATGTGTACATGCATGCCCAAAATCCCAAGAGAAGACTCTAAGGAATAGGTGTATGATATGGCCATCCTCCCTTGGGTAGTGATATTTTACTTTTTTCTCTTTCTTTCAGTCTGTATATCTGGCAAGCACACAAGCCCTATGACAAAACTAAAAAAAAAAAACTAAAAAGATGAAGTTTGTGTATTTTCTAAAATTTTGTATAAAATGAAGATCAAATATAAATCAGAATTTACTCATTAATGAAAATTTTAATTACTTTAAATATTAAAATTAGGAGCCAGATGACCAAGATGCCCCAGAAGAGCATGAATCATCTCCACCAGAAGATGCCCTATTATATTCTCATTCACCTGGAGCTCAGTATCAACAGGTAAAACAGCTGTTTTTTAAGTTTTTAATCTCCAAACCAATTGTTTATGCTTTATTTAAAGAGTATTTGAGTTTTTTCCTGTTTTCTTAAAATTTTTGTTACTTATCCTTATGACTATAAATAGTGTATATTGTGTGAAACAGCTTTGTCAAGATGATGAGACGTGACTCAAGTGGGGTCATATTGCAGCATGTTTCGTTTTAATTTTAGTGTATATTCCTTGTCAGTGAGTCACTCCCTTGGACCAAAACTTGTGTTAATACATGTGCTTGATACTTCACACCACTTGAGTTAATAACTCTTGAAGCTATGTTAAGAGCAAAAGAATTCTGGTTACTGAAACCAGCAGATAGCCTAGTGATTACATCACTGCACTCCCATTGCTATTTGAGTTCTGGACTCTGTAACTTGAATCACGCTAGGTGCATGTGTGTACACACCCAAAATCCTGAGAGGAGAGTAGGGCAGAAGGAATTGTGGTGTGGCCCTCACTTCTGGGAGGGTGATTACTCACTTTCTTTCTCTTTTTCCCTGGCAAGTGTACCACCCTTTGTTCAGAAAACATCTCTTAAGAAGGCGGGAAAAAAGAAAGTGTTTTAATTACTAAGATTTAGTAACAATTAAAAATGTCTTTAAAAGTCAACAATTTGGGGACTAGCAGATGGTATAATGGTTAGGTTGTTGTACTCCCACATAGTTAACCACATTTCAGGTTTTGAACCTGATGTCTTAAAACTCAAGCCAGGTTACTTAGCATATTTGCCCAATATTCCGAGAGGAGAATGGATGAAAAGGAATTGTGGTGTGACCATCTCCCTGGGAGATGATTTCTCTCTTTCTCTCTCTTTTTCATTCTCTCTGTCTCTCAGGCAAGTGCACATGCCCTATAGCAAAAATCTCTCAAAAAAAAGAAAAAGGAATAGAGGAGAACGGATTGATGTGTGGCCACCCCCCATGATGGATATTTTCTTATTTTCCCTCTTTTTTGTCTCTCCAATGAGCATATGTGCCCTCTAGAAAAATAAAAATTTAAAAAACAAGTCGATAATTGAGGGACTGACCTTGTAACATAGTGTTTATGGGAGCAAGATCCTGTGTGATCGATCCTAATTCAAATCTCAACCTCACTGGCTTGAAATAGATGTCAGCATATGTACCCAAATTCCTGATAGAGAAATGGAGAAGGGATTTTAGTGTGACTATGCTCATTGGAAGGTGCTTTTTCTCACTCACTCACTCTCTGGTTACATATGCACCATCTAACAATTTTTTTAAAAAATGAATAATTTAATTATCAGTTGAATTGGTTCACTAGCAACAGAATAATGAAAGAAATGATAGATGGAGAAATTTTATTAGAACTTTTCATTTGAAAATAGGAATTTTAAGTGAAGATTTTTAGGAAGATTGTCTTTAATTTAAGTGACAACTCTTATTAATTCAGCTCTTTTTATTTTTTAGAGGCTTATGCCTTAGGGCACATGAGCTCCCTGGAGACAGAGAGAAATAGTGAGAGGAAAAGTTAGAAATCTCCCTGCCCCTCCAGGAGATGGCCATGCTGTAATCTCTTCTCCTCTATTCTCCAGGTATCTTGGGCATTCATGCACATGTGACCTGTGCGATTTTCAAGCCGTTGGGTCCAGAACTTGAACCACAGTCAGCCATGTGAGAGTGAGTCCAGTAATGTACTTCTATGCCATTTACTGGCTGCATTAACTCAATTTTTTTACATCATAATTTACTAAAGGTACTACCGGCCAAGAACAGATGACTGAGTCCAACCTCCAAAATTTCTGGCTCAGTATGTCTGGTGAGGTGTCAAGAGTTTCCATTTAGGGAACCAGCAGTTAGCGTAATGGCTGTGTTGCTGGACTCCCACGTAGTCGACTGTGGTTCGCGTCCGGTGGCTTAGAACTCACACCGGGAGCATGTGCATGCGTGCCCAAGATCCCGAGAGGAGAATGGAAGAGAAACAACTGTGGCGTGACCATTCCCCCTGGGGGGTGATTTCTTGCTTTTTGTCTCTATGTCTCTCTTTGTCTGTCTGGCAAGCGCACGCGCCCTCTAGCGAAAACCTTTCAAAAAAGAAAAAAAATGTTTCCATTTATAGCAAGTTTCCAAGTGATTGTGATTTAGCCAGTCTGAGGACCAAACTTCGAAAACCACTCCTCTTAGCGTAGCAGTTATTGATACAAGATTCCTAAGAACTTTCCCTGCAAAGATAAAATTGAATATTGTCCGAAGCTTCACACATTTATGTTTATTTTTAAAATACATGGTATTTATGTATCTTCAAATATAAGAATCAACTTACGCTATGAGAGTTTAAAGAATTAAGTTCTAGAAATAAAACAAATGACTACTTTCAGACAGATTTTTAGCCCATGATTTTAAATTTTAGTTATAATGTATAAAACGTTTGATATTTGGGTCTCTTTTACCCTCTCAGAATAATCATGTGCATGGACAGCCATATACAGGTCCAGCACCACATCACTTGCACAACCTGCAGAGAACTGGCCAACGAACACAAGAAAATTATGAAGGCAGTGAAGAAATATCATCACCTCAAATGAAGGATCAGTGAAATGCACATAGTTAACTGGTTCAATTAAGACCACACACTCAGGCCTTTAGTTTAATACTTTTTTCTCTGACAGCCTAGTATTTAAAACTAGAAAAACTTTCTAGAGGAAATTGGAGTGAGGTCCTATTTATTTTGTCATTGTGGAGAAATTCTCCTGTCACTTGGAGTAGAGGGAGTATAGTGTTTGATATTAAATGACTGATGATAACATGTAAATTGCAAAAATGTATATTGTATATTATTGTTTGCCTGTTAATTCTAAGGAAAATTTTTTGATGAAGAGTCAGAGTTACATTAATTTTTTTGTTGTTGTTTTGATGTCTGCTGTATTCTACAACCAGTATTGCCTACTACTTGGCAGTTAGATAACTTATTTGCCAAGAAAAGGGAGGGGATAAAGGAACATAAAGAGCCTGGCCACTGATAACAATCACACCAACAGTTTGTTCATTTGTCATTACTAGATATGTTAGGCTAGTAGGTAACCTTTCAATTACATTGATGTGTAAAGTTGGTTATGTAACATTATTTCTAGTTATTTTCTTTTCCTTTTTTCTAGTAGTCAGTTAATCTACTTTAAATCTATAGTTATGTTAGAACATTTAGCATGGATTCACACCAAGTTTATGAACTCAGTGGAGGCAAAATTTCCTGAATGACAATTATTGTTCCAAAATGACAGCTGTATTGCTCAGAGCCTATATTTCTTACAGTTAAAATAAATATAAAATTGGAGAAGGGTGACAAACAGATTTTAGTTGCACATGCTGTTCACATTTAATATTTGATAGTTCTGTTTAGATGGGTTAAAGAATGTTAAAGTATCGAAAATAGGAATTTTAATATAGTAAAACAAAAAACAATGTTTTGCTATGCCAGAATGTTTGGAGTGAAAAAGAAGATTGTATTTGTTGTATTTGTTTTAATTTTTGTTCAAATTTGTTAGGTGACACTGATAAAACTTTATTTTTGCTGGAGTGCAGTCATCACCTACAGTATATATAATCTATTGTATATGTGTTGCCAAAGCAAGCATAAATCCATAGTACTTTGAAGTGCTTAATTACATCAAGTTTTCTGATTTTCTCGTCAGTCTCAGATTCATTTGAAAGAAGAATTAACCTAGTTTTTTTTCTCCATTATTCAGAAACTTTTCCTTTTTAGTATAGAGTTTAATTAAAATAAACTTCTGCTTATTAGTTAATAAAGTTATTTTAGTATAAATATTTGTTTAAAGAACTAAGAAATTCATGAGCCAATACTTTATTTAAAAGAGAATTAGTAAGTTTTGAATGTAATATTTTGGAACCTGTCTAAAAACCAAATATTACTATAAGGAAAAACAAGTGATCCTATATTATTTAAATATTTTGCTGTTTTGTTTTATAGAAATTATTTTTCTGAATTTATAAATAGAATTTGATTTAAGAAGCTTTGTGTCCTGTAGTGTGTTTTGTTTCTTGTTCATGATATTAAGACTGAACATTAAAACTAATTGTCGACATAGCATGACTTGGCATGACACATTGAATTGTTTTGTTTTGTTTTGTTCTGTTTTTCATGATAGAGCACATGTGCATACATGAGAGAGAAACGTGGCCCTCCACATGGCTCTGTCCTTTTCCTTATTCCTCTACTCACCTACCCCAAGAATATTTTGTGTATGTGCATAGTCACTGTGGCTTCTAGCTCTGGAATCTAATATGTTGGTAACTGTATACAGAGACTAAAACATACAGTGAATTTTTGTGCATGATTTGACCCATGGCCCTTTTCTAAGGATTTATGAAACAGCAACAACAAAAACCCAAGATATTGGCCCTGTATAAAATTTCCTAATATAATCAATCTCACACTTCTGACACATTTTATATAGTTTATTTCTCATCTCTAATTATATCCTATTGTAAGTCATATGGGACACTAAATAAATGAATACTGAACCTTTTTATACTGATATTTCAAATGCTCATTTTCTGTCAAACTGTGAATCTAACCTGTAACAAGGTATATCCATTTGATGTACTGTCTCTATGTCCATAGTTGAATTCAATTTGGACAAGTAACTGTTTTTTTTTTTTTTAATTTTGCCATCTTAATTTTTATTTATTTTCAGTGTTTTTCCCATAAGGTATATGTACTTGCCAATGAACCAGGCAATAAAAGGGAATGTGAGAAATCACCCCTGACCACTACCACCTAAGGAGGATAGCCATGCTACAGTCCGTTTTCCTCCATTTTCTTTGGGGGATTTTGTGCATGCACATACATGTGTCTGGTGTGATTTTAACTATCGCACCACTGCTCTTCCCAGACCAATAATTTCTGAATTATAGTATATTCTCTTGCCTGAAGAAATGTAGTCCATTGGTCCAAACTGGTATAGTATCTTTTGTCTAAAAATTTCATATTCATTAACCTCTTCAACCAGATATGTAAAAGTTCAGTCTACAGTAGTCAGGATCTCTCAGTAGGCGATAGGGCTACCAACATTGGTACAGTGCAATCTAACACTTATTCCTAAGTCTATCCCATCAGACCATAGTCACCTACAATTGCTGTGTGTCTCATTGTCAGTTTGTGCGTCAGAGGGTACAACAGGAATAAATCTAGTTTTAACCCATCTCTGCATTGCTCCAGTACCCTCCTATGAGATGACTATCTCAGAAGTATTCACTGAAAATTATACTTGTGAGCCAGCTGGTGATGTGCTGGTTAAGGCAGCTTGATCCCACATGGCCAGCTTAATGGTTCTAGTCCTGGACCCAGTGCCTTGAAAATCACAACAGGCATATATGTATACATGCCCAAAATCCTGAGAAGAGAGTGGAGGAAAAGGGGTGAGAGTATTTTCACACTTTCCCTCTCTGTTTCAATCTTTCTATTGCTTGGGTTAGCACATATACCCTATCATAAAAACTAAGCAAAGGAGAAAAGATATCTGCTTGCCAGTTTCAATTATCTTATCAGTTCTAGAAGGGTTCTTCCTAATTTATTTTTTTCTTTTTGGAGAGTTTTTTGCTATAGAGTGCATGCGCTCACCAGAAAGAGACAGACAGAAAGCGAGAAGTTTAAGCTGCGGGGTCCAGGACTCGAACTGGTTCGACTACATGGGAATTCAGCAACATAGCCATTATACTAACTGCTGGTCCTGGAAGGGTTCTCCTGATGGTCATTAGCATATCTTACTTGAATGCATCCCTTAAATTCTCAGGATTACTTTTCAAGGGCTATGTCACATAGAGTCCTTTGTTTAATAGGTATTTCATCATCCCCATTGACCACTTGCCATAAAATTGGGAGAAGTTTAAGTGTAGGAACTCTAAATCATTATTTAATTTTTTTATTAGTCCATGAGAAACATACAGCTCAATCATTTTGTATGTTTTGCATCATTTTGTTTGTATCATTTTGTTTTGTTTAATCATTCTTTCTTTTGCTGGATGTCATTGGTGGCCTTGCAAAGAGGATCTTGATCACCTTGAAACTGCTGTCTATAAACTAAACAACTCTTTATCAATTTGTAGAGCCTTGCCTAGGTGATAGTGGCATCCAGTAGCTCTTTGGGGTTATTAAAGTTGCTCCTGAGCTAAAAGAGGTTTCCTGTTCTTCAATATTAAGTGTAACTCTTGGCACCTCCTTGTGACATGTCTGTGTAGACTCATTTTTGATGTTACTCTTGAATTCTTACTATTTTCTCATTAGAGGATTCTTATATCATTATTCAAGGCATGGGTAATTCAAAGTTTAGTATTTCAGTCTAAATACTAAGGCACATAGTAGTTCTCTTCAAATGACATGTAGTGTATCACAGCATTAAGAGATTCTTCTTAATATAAAAATTACAGCTGTTAAGAAGTAGCATTTACAGGCTTTTTCCCGGTTCCAATCATCTGTCAGTTCTAGTAAAGGCGAGTCACTGGCACAGTGGTAGTATAGCTCTATACAAATGGGAAAGGTCCTGGGCTTGTTTCTGGGGATATTGCTGGTAGTCCTATGCACACATGTGCCTGTGATCTTGGCAGACTGGGACTAGGAGAATAGATTATTTTGTAAGGACCCTGTTAGGAATGTTAGTAGTTCTCATGGATGGAGTAAACTTCTAGAAATCTGGAGCATAGATCATAAAGGCCTGACATATAAGAAATACTTTTTGGAATTCAGACATGTCCTTCCTATATTTAGCCCCCAAGTCAGTTAAGCTTACTTAATCTTACGGAAGGAGCTAACAATATTCCCTAATTTGGAATATGAATCTTCCAAAATCCTATTTAGTTAGGAGTAGATAGTCACTGAAATTTATTTGTATGCACAGGTAGAATATCGGTTCTCTTATTTTTTTATTTTTTTTATTTTTTGAGAGGTTTTTGCTATAGGGTACATGTGCTCGCCAGAAAGTGAGCAATCACTCTTCATAGGGGATGGCCAGACTGCCATCCTGTCTTCATTTTCTCCTTGGGATCTTGGCCATGCACGCACATGCACCTGGCATGAGTTTAAGCCACTGGGTCCAGGACTTGAACCATGGTCAGCTATTTGGGAGTTTAGCCACATAGCCATTACACCAACTGCTGGTCCCCAGTTCTTTTTTTTGAGAGTTTCGTCATTTGCGTTGATGTCTTTATTTTTAGTGGGTCTATCGACCATCCTTGCTGGATTTAAGTCAGTACTTTTCAATTTCAGATGTTGTCATCATTAGTATGTAACCAAATTTACCGTAGTGACCCTCCAACTAAATGTAAATTGGGGGACCCTTCTCACATAAAAGAATGTGGTTAGTATTCCAAGATGGAGACTCAAAAAGCATTTTCAAGACTAATAGTTTTGACAGTTTCTATTTTGCACTGTTAAAAACAATGGCAGATCCCTATTGATTTCTTGAACTGTATTCTGTTTCTTCCCATAAGCCATCTGGTATTTTCATGAGTCTCACCGGTTTATTGAAAAAATTTAGTGCCAGCTCTCAGTTTGTTTCCTTCCTTTCTGCCTTTCTGCTCTTCCCACCTGCCTACTTTGAAACTCTAAGTTTGCTGTATTGTACATGTGTTTTTGGAGAGAGAAAATGAG